GTTTCTCTCTGACAGATAAGACACGAGACGACTGAGTCGATGCAACAATATAAAATATAAAACCCCATAAAACAAAGTGAACATAGGTACAACAGAAATACAAAGATTAAGACCTATACAATAAATAAAACAATATAAATTAAACACCTCTCCTCTACCTCTGGATGTAATGACTCCTCTCCTCTCCTCTGGATGTAATGACCCCTCTCCCCTCTCCTCTCTCCTCTCCTCTCCTCTCCTCTGTATGTAATGACTCCTCTCCTCTCTCCTCTCTCCTCTCCTCTCCTCTCCTCTGTATGTAATGACTCCTCTCCTCTCCTCTCTCAGGACCCCAGTGATCGCCGGGGGGATCTTCGTCATGGACCGCAGCTGGTTCAACCACCTGGGACAGTACGACACTCACATGGACATCTGGGGGGGGGAGAACTTTGGTGAGATCCATTATTATTAGAACAACGTTGTTTTTAGGACTTTGTTGGAGTTGTAATATTCAAAATGATCTCCACCTCAAACAGCTTCAACAGTGCCATCCTACTTTAACATTAATACACGATAAATAATAATAATAGTATAAGAGTTAAGCTTTTTCCTCGCTTTGAGTATATTTGTTATCATTCTTACATACTTTTACTACGGTAACATTTTCCCCGCCAGACTTTGACTTTTAACAGAGAACTTCTACATGTATTTGTACTTCTATACATATCTAAATACATCTTTTCATAGCAGTATAAAACAAAAAGAATGAATAAAAGTCAATGCGCTGCTGTTTCCAATGACACGGCTGTCATGCGAGCACGAGTCATCTTGAAAAGAATCAGATAAAAGTTATAAAGTTATCCATTTGAATGTCTTCATGTCAGAGTTTTAGTGGTGTTGGCACTGCAGAAGCTTCTGGATGCTGCAGAGGGCCAGCTGCCGCTCTCTGAAATAACAATCGTGTCCTTGGAATCTGCAAAGGCAGCCAAGCATTAAATGATCCACTCCGACAGCTTTCATTGTGCGGATTTACAGCGTGTTGCATCTGCTGCATACAGAGTGTGTCAGGTGAACTCAGCCAGCTGACCTGCTTCTGCTTCTGTCCGCCTGCAGAGCTCTCTTTCCGGGTGTGGATGTGCGGAGGAAGCCTGGAGATCCTCCCCTGCAGCCGCGTGGGCCACGTGTTCAGGAAGAGGCACCCGTACGACTTCCCAGAAGGCAACGCTCTCACCTACATCAAGTGAGTGGGCCCATCTGTTAGGATACCTGACTTCCTGTTTGTGTTGTGTTAGAAAAATGTCACTCGTTCCTGAACAGTGTCCTTCACATGCTCATATACAAGAGAGGGAGTTACAGTCACAAGATGGAGGAATACCGGTTCTTCTAGGTAATCATACATCCTGTCGTGTACTAAATACTGACCTTTTCCCAAAATCTAAAAATTCTTACTTTTTCCTCAAAATTCTGACTTTTTCTCAAAAATCTATAAATTCTTACTTTTTCTCAAAATTCTGACTTTTTCTCAAAATCTATAAATTCTTACTTTTTCTCAAAATTCTGACTTTTTCTCAAAAATCTATAAATTCTTACTTTTTCTCAAAATTCTGGCTTTTTCTCAAAATCTAAAAATTCTTACTTTTTCAAAAAATTCTGACTTTTTCTCAAAATCCTGACTTTCTCTGAATACTTAAAATTGTTAAAATTAAATTTAAATTAAATCAAATTAAATGTGTCAACAATTAATTTAGTTTATTTAGAAAATTAATTGTCAAATGGCTTTTGCATTTTTACTTTATTTAATTGTTAGAGATTTTTGCATTATGGCATTTGAAAATAAAATGGCATTGTGTGGCATTCTAATTCAAAATGGCCCTTTAATTATCTGTCTAAAAAAGGACAAATCAAGTTGCATTATCCGTTACATTTTAATGGTCAAATACCAATTACGATTTGAATATAATATCATCAAGTGAGGTTGATGTTTGAAAACGAAATGTCAATTGGCTTTTTAATTCACATTGTCAGGAATTGCTAATTGCATTGATGAATTGTAATGAAGGTTTTGACTAAATTGCCAATGTGAGATGACCTTTGATTTCATTGGAGTTTGCAAATCCTTTCTCATCCGCCCGTTTGTCTTCACCTCCGCACATGCCGCTCTAAAGGAGGGTTGAATTCCTGATGGAGATGTTTGTGTGTGTAGCAGCCTGTAGGAATGCCACCAGCACTGTCATTACTCTGTGTGTGTGTGTGTGTGTGTGTGTGTGTGTGTGTGTGTGTGTGTGTGTATAGGAACACGCGGCGTGCAGCAGAGGTTTGGATGGACGAGTACAAACAGT